AAGAGGGTAAGAGAACTTTGCAACACTGCTGACCGGATTTCAATTGCCTTGCCCCGCCTGCTGCCAACCGCCACCCATCAATATCAACACTTGACACTCCGAGTGTCCTTGTTGTCCTTACTGTGACATGACACGCGGTCGGTCGCGGCAGTTGAAATTTTCGGCTCAGTTGCTTGTTCTTCATGTTAATTGCGTGCCACACATTCGACACTTTATGGCTGCACGTCCTCACGGCCACACACCTGCCCCGTTTATGCAAATGCCAAAGGACTTTAAGTGTGACCAGTTACAAGAAACTTGTCGCTAACACTCATGTTTCGTTTTATTTTGTGAAAGTCTTTGGCAAGGCAAACAGAAACCAGTAACTAGTACAACTCGCTGAGACAGCGTAGCAATAAATAACAACTTGAACTATTAAGTATACAAGGTCTAAAACAATTCGAAACCGTAATTCCAATTTGATATATACCATAGTTTCGTTATGTACGACAAAAGTTTGAGTTAAGCCAGATTCAGAAACCTAAACTCAAGGCTGGAATTCGGTGCGACCCTAAGCTGAAGTACCGACCACTTCGGACTTCACTATACAGACCCAGAAGTATTTCTATTCGACAGATATAAGATCGGTTATAGTTTTGAGATACATTGGGTTTGTTTAGTTAGCCAGGTATTAAATAGCTGCAGTTTTCTTAAAAGGAGCTTGTGCAAATGTTAACAGATATTTTCGAAAGCCAGTTTTAGTAGTGACCGATTGTTTAAGCTGTCCAGGTATTCCTAGAAATTCCCGACTATCTGATGGATACACATTATACGCGAACCTGAATACTTAAAATTAGATGGTAGTTATCATCGTCATGCGAAGAAATTTGTATACCTATGAATATATGATATGATATGAATCTGATGATCCAAATTATATGCAACGTTCCTGACTGGGCTATATTGTTGCTCCAAGAATTGGTTCATAAACAATTAGACAAACGGACTAATGAGATTCAATACTTTAACCTAATAATATATATGTAAATGTGCATATGCTATTTCATAATATTTGTTAAGTGATCTCTATAAGGATCAAACATTGATCATCTTCCTATTATGATTGGTATTGGTATTGACTTTATCGAAAGTACGGGCAAAAGATATAATTTATATTTAAGCCAACAAGAATATAAACACAGATGCCGTATAAACTGTGTCTGGCAGCTGGTTAAATCGAATTCCCCACATGCCCCTTTCCCCTTCCCCCTGCCACGGCCGCATACTGGACGCTAATGAGCGACTGGTTTGCTTATTCAAGCGCATAACATTCGCTTTCAAGTTTTGCGCTGCGGGCAATGAAACTGTTTTACGAGTGGGTTTCACTTTGTGTAGTTTTTATCAGCACTGGTTGGTTATGCTCCTATTGTTCCTATTGGCTGTCATAGCAACAACAGCAACAACCGGCGATGCAAAAGGTAAAGCAAGCATAATGCATAAAAATAAAAACAATAACAACGGCAACAACAACGACAACAACAAAAAGCAAGAATAAACCAGAATTCTCTCATTGGACGCAAGTGCAAGTGCAAGTGTATGTACCTAGTACACCTGTGCGTGTGTGTGTGTGTGCGTGCGTGTGTATTTGTGTCTGTTTGCATTGGATCCCAGTCTGGTTGGCAGCTTGGCAGCTTGGTCGCTATGTGGCCCATTATGCTCGCCTGGCAAAATTGGAGCATTTATTGTACCAACAAAAAACGCATTTTATGAGAGACGGACTGCCAGCAGTCGAGCTGTACTTGCAATATTGTTCTTTTTTCTTGCTTTTTTTCTCTTACTGCTGTCAAATACACACAGAGCAACGTGTATGCACACACTGGTCCAGTAAGTCGACTCACGGTTGCCCTATAAACTGGTTTCTTCCCTTTTGACCAATGACTTCCATGATCAGATACCTATTTAAGTTTCTCTTCAATTAAATGATTCATTTTGTTTTTACTCAATTGTCGACGACAGCTAATAAAAGCTGCAAAATGGATATACCGAATGTACCTCTATGCAGACACTGCAGGGTATATTATAACAAAAACAACGAAAGCAACACGCAAAAGCTGTAAACTGCCAGCTTAGCACATACACACAAAATGAAAGCTCAAAGCTTAGCCAATTCAGCAACCAATGCGCTGTCAAAATCTCTTAGCAGCACCCACAACTATTGCCGTCCTCTTCTAGCGCGCTCCACTTGCTGTGCATGATTGCAATCGGTAAATAAATTGCCATCGTCTTGCTTTGGCTTATGTATACGTGTGTACATATATGTAAAAGAAAAAGCAACAACTGTGTGTGAAAAAAGACAGAGAGAGAGAGAGAGGGAGAAGCAAGTGAACTGTGCGCAAACACTATTTAGGTCGTCGCTGTGCTGCTGTTTGCTGGTCGCCTGTTGGCGCATCTAGGGCAAGTTCCTAGAATGTTCATTCCAATAAGCCCACCATGGCCATCGCAACATCGCGAAAATGATAAAAATTGTTGGCAGGCGAATTCGTAGAATTCACCCGAACTCAATAGGCGCCCAGCGTTTGATGCGTATAGCTGCTACGGCTGACGAACTTATGGGGTGTTGGGGGGCGTCCCAACATGTTTGTGGCGTAGTCAAAATCGCGTCATGCGCGTCGCAATTTCAGCAGGCGGTCAGAGACAAAACGCCAGACACCCTACCCAACGAGATGCCAATAGATGCCGCCGAAACACCATCGAAGACAGCCCATGGCCGGGCACGGGCCAGGATGCCCAATCACATATGGCCGCGCGGCGCAACGGACTCCACATACGGCCAATGCCAATGCGTTTGCCAACAGTGGGCTCCACAAGCTCCACGAGCTCCACACACAACACGCTCGCTTTTAACACTTTCGATTTCTTGTTCCAACCAAACGCTGGCCGCTAAATAGGCGCCCAGCGTACAACAGCAGCGCGTTGCCAAGCAACAGGCCCCCTCGCACAATGAGATAGCTACACACATGCAAACGTTATGCGGTCTAGACAGAGAGAGCGACATACAGCTGAATCAGTGCACAGGCTAGTTGTCTCGCTCGTTGCGCTCTCTGCACACATGTTGCTCGCTTTGGCACACTCACTCATATCAGAGCGTACATTTGCGCGACGTTTTAATTCGCACACACACACACACACACACACTCGTATGTAAATATATGTATGCATACATATATTATGCTTTCTCATATGTTTGCACTCATGCAATGTCATGCGATGGCAATGTCCTTGTATAAAAAACTGTTTTTGTGCACAGGCGCACAGTGTGCGACAACCAGCAGCAGCAGCAGCAGCAGCAGCAGCGCAAGAAAAGAAAACATCGCTTGGTTTGTTGTTGCTGCTACGCTCATGCTCTCGCTGGCTCGCTCGCTCTCTCACCCACTCTCACTCTCTCTCTCTCTCTCTCTTGCTTGCGCTCGCTAGCTCTTGCGCTTACAGCTTTTAGCTTTTATTTTTCGTTAGCTGAAAAAAACCCGCTGACTGTTCCAGCCAGCAGCATGCAACAATAATGTGTATACGCTTGTGTGTATGCATGTGTGTGTGTGTGTGTGTGTGTTTGTTTCTGTTGGGGGAGTTGTTATTTTGCTGCTGCTTCAGTTGCTTGCTGCACGCCTGTTCGAAAATCGACTGACTGAAGGCCCCTGAAATCGTACGCACACGCGATGGCAAGCATCGGGCACTTGCCCGAACGACTTCGTTGCCAGCAGCAGCAGCAGCAGCAGCAGCAGCAGCAGCAGCAGCAGCAGCTGCGGCGTCGACGTCGGCGTCGACAGCGGCAGCGGCATCAACGACTTGAACTTGAGCTCCGCCCCGTCTCTCGTGGAATGCAGTTTATGTTGCGCGCTGCGAATTCATTAAATGTTGTTTTTAATTAATCGCAGGCAGGCAGCACAGCACACAGCAAAACAGAGCAGAGACAGCAGCCCAGCCTACTCCCACTCCCAGTCCCACTCCCACTCCCACCCCCACACTCCGTTATGCCCTGTGCTGCGCGGCCTAAGAGCTCAGCCAATTAGTGGAAAATGTTGCTGCCCGGCACATTGGCCACCCTCTTCATTAGCTGCACACATTTCGACCTACGCTTTTTGCAGCGCATCTTCTTCTATCCTATTACGCCGGCATCGTCTTAATTAAAAAGCTGAAAATGTTTGCCCCAGACGCGGCCGGAACACCATTTAGCTCATTCCCGGCGCATTTTTAATTGCTTAATTGGAATCGCGCAGAGGACAACACCGAAGGACGCCCAGCCTCGTCTCGCCTCGGCTCGTCCGTCAGGGACGAGGCCGTGCTCGCCCAGCCATTGGTGGGCATAGACCTGGCGACGCCCTTATCGCTGCTCGCTTGCTGTTCCTTTCGCACGTGCCTGGGCCGGGCCGGGCCGGGCCGGGCCGAGCAATTAAGCGGATGCGGCGAGCGAACCGCCTCTCAATTCAGCAGCCAGAAGCCAGCATCCGGCCGCTCTCAAGGTCGTGCACGGAGCAGACACCACGCCTAGATACGCCTCAAACTCAGCCAGCGCAGCAGGCGCACAGCAAGCAGCAGCCAGCGAGCGCCAGGACTCTGTTAAGGATATGGCAATATGCTCAGCTGGAAGCTGCGAAGCGCCAATGTGCAAGGACTCGCGTGTCCTTGGCCTGCAATTCAACGCACGTTTACGGTAGCTTAAAAGCGCACCCAGCAAAAGAAAGAGACGCAAAGATTTCAACTTAACCAGCAAAAGCTCATTCTCGCTTTTCCAATTCAGATAATAACGAATATTTGAAAACGAAAACTACTCATGCCTTATAAGAATCTTTGTAATGTTTCAACTACATCGTAATTATGCTTTCTAACTAATATTAATCAATAAAATAATATATATATTCAAGTATATACTTAGATTGAAAAATAAACAAATGAAAAAAAAAATTCACATGAAAAAAATGTCACATCTTGACATTAGGATTATTAACCACGACAATATTGCCAAAACACCATATAATATTCAGTTGAGAAACATGTACAAACAAAATAAATGCTGCTTAAATTATAATTCACAAGCAAATATAATCGATCGATTAGTACATGTACAAGCAACACAATCAATTTTATTAAAAAGCCTTAGTTAACCCAGAAAATAAGTAATATTCACCGATTAGTAAAGCTTGTCCAACACCCCTTAGCCTTGACGCTGGCTGCACACGTTACCCAACACTCTTTGCAGAAAACAAAATAGGCAACGCAGTGAACTTCATAACAATTCCTTAGCTAACTCAACAGCAGGATATTCTCTATCATTTTGAATGTGCACATCAAGGGAGTAGCACATAGAATATTTAATCCGGTTATCTTTCTAAAGGTTCCAGCATTTTTAGAAATTAAAGTGAGAGCCAATCACATACTAATAAGCTAAATTTTTGGGGCTTGACTGAATTTCTTAATGTGTAATGGAGCTTTCCACTTGGAAGAAGGTGCTCTTGAAATGGGTAAGTGTTCTACTTATTTTGGTTTTCCAAGTGTATCACAAATTTCAGCAATACCTTACAGGTTAGGGACTGTGAGCTCATCGAACCAACTCCAGTGTGCTTGGATGATCTAGAGCCCGAAATTTTCTTTTCGGCATACGCAGACCGCGTGAAATATTTGTCGTCCTTCAATCCAGAGTCTGCAAGTAGCCCACTGCTTTATTTTTTGGAAGGTGCGCACGTACTGGCATTATTAGGCCTTATTAGGCATTAGTCTCAAATACAAATAATATCCGATTTGCAGAGAATTTTCCCAATTTCGAGCCCCAACTAAAACAAAATGGCAGCATCGCTGCCAGCGATTACGCCTATGTATATTCTCTTCTATGGCGATACGCCAGCGATAACGGCGGCATCGACTATATTCCGGACGGTGTCTTTCAAGATAATTATATTGAAAACTGTATTGAACTCTTCACTCGATACATCCCAGATATGTCCAATCTATCGAGAGTTCTTTTGCACGAATGCATCACCCGGATGCCCTCCGGTTTTCAAGAAGATTCTCCTGAGCATAATGGCGATAGCGATTCGTCGGGTTGCGGCTGCGGCGAATATGTGATGGGTGAAGAATGTGTGAGCGAGGCCGCTGATGAAAACGAACTCGATTATATAGAGGACGAAGCCATCGAAGAAGGCGACTCTGATGGGGCCGGCGAAGCATCTGAATACATTGGGGGAGAGGCCGTCGAAGAAAATGTGCCCTATTTTATTGGGGACGAGGCAAACGAAGAACGCAACTCTGATGAGCCGCGCGCAGTGTCTGAATACATTGTGAAAGAAGCTGACGCAGAAAATGAAAATCAAGCCGATTATACAGAAAAAGAATCTGGCGGGGAACTCGATTCTGATGAGGCCGACGAAAAATCCGAATACTTTGAAGAAGCCGTCGAAGAAAATGAAAATGGACAAGATTATGTACAGGAATACAACTCTGATAGTGAGGCCAGCGAGCAAGCCGAATACCTGAATAGTCCCGATTATATATTGAACAAAACCGTTGAGGAATACTACTCAGAGGGCGCCGAAGAGGATTCGGATTCTATCGAAGAGGACGCCGAAGCATATGAAAATGAACCCAATATTCTAGACGAGACGCCTGAACCACAGAAATCTCAAACTGAAGAAGAGAATTTTGAAAATGAGCCCGATCATATCGAGAACGAAGCCACAGAAGAGCATAGCCCTGATAATGAGGCGAGTGGAGAAGCCGATTACGTATTAGACGAAGCCGCCGGAGGACGAGAACCCGATTACAAGGATAACAAAGCTGTCGAGGAAAGCATCCATGAATGCAATTTACCAGAAAACAGTTCGTTGACCCCGACCAGGCTTCTACGTAAACACAGCCGTTCTTGGCGCACCTTCGCCAACCAGGCTGACGTCCCTCCTCTGCCCACCAGCAGCAGTTCAGGTGTCGATACCGAAGAGAAGTACTGTTTGATGGATAAAGACCCATATGAAAACGCGCCTCCAGGCAAGGATCTGCTTGGCAGCAACAATAGCATTAGAACGGAGAGAGACGTTCTGATTGATAACCAGCCAAATGAAAAGATGCCGACAAAAACGTATTCCAAGTCTAGGGTAGCTCTGTTCCGCGAAAAAGGTTCCTCTCAATCGGAGCCCAGCATTCTTTATAATATATACACGTTGGCCACCATCGATACAGATTCCTTGCGATCTAGCGAGGAGGAGGACGAGGACGAGAAATGCGTTGGCGATAATAACAACGTGAGTTTCTCTTTATAATGATGATCCATTCGAATCCTTGATAACTCGTGTAATTCGCTCCAAAGAACGAACAGCTTGAAGCCAAAGCAAGCAATACCTTGGTGCAGTCGAATAAAAAGGAACTGGGGAATTCTTCCAGTTCAAAATATCGCAGCGCGGACGAGAATGCAGAGGGTTTCATCGAAAATGAAATAGTAGGCAAAATAAAATATATTAACCCAATTATGAAATACCATTATAACACTCATTCAATCAGCTACAATTGGACATGATGAATAGGAACGTAGACAAGGATACGCTCATTGAACTGCTTAAAGATCATATAAGAGCCTTACAAACTAGCAACGATGAGCTAACCAAGAAGGTAAGCCAATATTCCTTTTACTTCGATATTAAAGCTGTCAATCATTGTGTTTAATCCGGAGCTAATGGAATCTCGTTCTTGATTTAGATGCAAGTGTCCGACTCGAACGCACAGTCGTACTTGGAACGCATTCACGAACTGCAGGACCTCGTGGACAGTGCGGACGGGATCGTGATGGACAGGGAGCGTACGCTGGAAGGTCTACGCTCAGACTGCGAAGCGCTAAAGATGCGCCTGCGCAGAGGCAGTTTTGAGCTGAATGACACCACGGACGATATTGGTGTTAGCACGGAAGAGAAATCACAATCGGCTAAGCGAAACGATTTGGTGGAGGCATTAGCTTCTGCGGAGAACGAACGCATGAGATTCAAGCAAAATGTTTTGGGGCTTATTCGGACGCACAACGTGGAGATGCCGGAACTGCCACTGAACGACGATTCGATACCAACGCTCTTTGGCCTTATTGAGTATACCATGGACCAGATGGCCGCAAAGTATGAATCGCATAACCAGACTTTGCCAGCCAATGAAACGGTATGTGATAATCGACAAGTAGACATAGGTCAAGCCAAGCCTGTTAGCTAATAGGAAACCCAATCCTGTCCATCTTTACTATAAGCAGCTGAACGTGGAGCAAGCCGCCTGCTTGACGGCATCGCATAATCAGAGGGACGAGCAGCCGGCGTTCGTAGGGCGATCGGTGCAACTGGATCAAGATCCCATGGCTCTGTACCAGCAACAGATTCAAGCCCAGAACGCGTTCGCCGCCGAAATGCTCCAAATATTAGCCGATTACAACAATCTAGCCGTCGAGCCAGACGATGAGCCCGGCGACGTTTTCCATCAGTTGCGCAAACAACTCGTCCATTTTGTGGCCAACTACAGATGTCTGGATACCCTAAACACGCAATTGCAAAGCACAATGCCGGCGACGATGGATGCGTTGAGTGCCTACGAAACGAACATCCGAAAGATGCTGCTGGAAGTGGAAAATATCTGCAATGTGTCGTCAATGAGCCAAGAGACAGGCATGAATGCCTTGGAGCAGCTGCGGCTGCAGATAGAACAATTTATGTCCGATTTCAAGGGGCTGGAGGCGACCAGCGTGCACTTGACCAGCGAATACAGGAGCTGCCTGATGCAGTACAGCGATCAGCAGCAGAATCGCCTAAGGTTGGAGCATTATATAAAGTATCTGGAGGAACAGTTGGATTACAAAACTAGCGAATGCAACTGGTTCGGGCAGGAGTTAACGCACCAGATCGCATATATCAATAAGCTGGAGTCCGAGCAGGACATGTCAGAGATTTCAGACGAGCAGGAGCTCCACAAGTACCACCAGAAACTGGGTTCAGTGCTGGGCCGGCTCAAGGCAAAGATGATTAATTACGTATGCGGCATGGTCCGCCTAAATGTGAATCTCAACATGCCCCTGGTCATAGATAATCAAATGCTTGTCGTGCACCAGCGCCGACTGACCTTATTACTAGACGATATCAAAAACAACGTAATGGATCACATCGCACAGATTGCCCGAATAGTCTCGGACTACAAGCTGCCCAAGTACGAGATGCAGCTGATCGACGAGGAGAATCAAAAGACACTGGTAGATGAGCTGCAGCAACAGCTAAGCGCTGCTAAGGATCAAAATAAACAGCTGGAGCAGGAGCTACAGTCGGCCATTCAGCAGGACAAGTATTCGGTGCTTAAACAGGAGCTGAGGATTGCACGCCATGAGCTGAACGATATGAAAAACGAAAATCTGCAGCTGAGCCACAGACTCTTTGTCTCCCGGCGTGGTGGCGAATCGAAGGGATTGGAGAAGCAGCTGGAGACTTACAAACAATATTCATCGGAGCTTGAGTCGAAACTCAATGATGCCTTCGATTTGGTCAACGATCGGAATCGCGAACTAGAACACTTGGCCAATATGTTCACCGAGCTGAAAGTATCGCTAACAAATATGGATCAACGCGTTAGGCAGGCATGTCCTGTGGAAGGTACTTCATTTGTGGTCGTGGGGCAGGGCCGGGATTTCGCAGAGCTACAGCAACACGTCGAATACTTGGAGCAGGAGCTGGTTATAAGCCAAGAGCTAAGCACTAATAAGCAATCGGAGCTGCAAGTGCAGTTACTGGAACAACAGAAGGCTGCCGCAATAGAGCTAGATGCCCGAGATTCTGCCAATCAGCAGCTGTCCGAAAAGCTGGAAGTATGCCGGGTACAGGTTGAAAGCTTAGAATGCCAGCTGAAGCAAAGCCAAGCACCAAGAGAGCATCAATGGCAGTCGGCACTGTCTGTTGATCAGCTTGGCGGCTCCAGAGGGAGGCTCCAGCAGCCGTCAAGCGTCGAGAGCGGGCTGAGCCAGCAGCTGGAAGGCCTACAGCTCCAGCTAAAGAAGAGAGAAGAGCAGCTGCAGGCCGCACAAGTGGACCTGCAGAAGGAGCAGAGCGAACGCCAGAGGCTAGCTGAAAATCTGACCGACTACCAACAGCTGGTGGAAGAATTACAGCAACCATCCAATCAGGATTGGCAGATGGAGTGCCAGCTGTTTGAGGCGCATAAAGAGATCGAGGTACAAAAACGGGAGCGCCTGAGACTGGCTAGAGCCGTCACCCAGTATCAACAGAAGGTGGAGCATCTACAGCGCCAACTGGAACGTGCCAAGAACGGCAAATTGGCTTCGGGCCTGGTAGATCAGCTAGAGATGGTGATGCAGGAGCTGCAAGATGCCAACTACGCGAATATGCAGTTGGGCCGCGAGCTTCTTAGCTATCAAGAGCAAAAAGCAAACTTACAGGAACAGCTGACTATGTCCCAGAGCCACAACTGCCCAAGTCAGCAGGAAAAGAAACTGGTCGAGAAGTTGACAATCGCACGTGAAGAAGTGCAGAAACTGAAAGTGGTAAATCACAAGTTGGTGAAGACGGCCAGGTATTACCGAGATCATGCTGAACTACTGCAGGAACAGATGGGTGAGATGCGAAGACGCGAAACGAATGCATTCCAAAATGAAGCTCGACTGACCGCCGAACATAAGGATTGGCTTGAGAAAAATCTGGCTACCTATAAGAAGCGTGTTAAAAATCTACAGCAGCAGATAAAGGAGCGCGCTGTCCAGCTTAAGGATGCCGAGCAGCAGGCAAGGACAATTGAGCAATTGCAAAAACAATTGATAATGACGCAGCAGAAACTGAGGGAGAAGCCCAAAACTGTCACAATGGATCAATCTGGACTAGAAGACGAACTGAATACCGCCTACCACGAAATAATTGGGCACGCGTCCCACCAAAAGGAGCTCGCCCAGCAAATTGTCAGCTACAAGGTAAGAATTGATCACTTGGAAAAGCAATTAAAGGATGCTCGGAGCAGCAGAGCTACTGCGTCGGGGGTAGAAGACAAGGATGAGCTTGTCAAGCAGCTGGAAATCGCCCGCAGGCACATGTACGACCAGGACTGCGCACAGCTAAACATGAGCGAGAAGCTCAGCAATTACAAAATGCGTTTGGAGAGCATGCAGGAACAGTTGGAAAAGGCTCAAGTGATAAAGGCCAAAGTACAAGATGAACTGAATCGCGCCCAGGAGCATATAAAGGCAATGCAGGCACAGCAGCTGGATCTGCAAGTGAAATTGGACAGTTCAAAGCAGGAGACGGCAACCGCATATGGTCAGCTAAATGATTTGCAGCAGCTGCAACTGCTGACGTTGGAGCAATTGGAAGACCTCAAAAAGCAATTCGACAAGGTTCAGCAGGAGTTGGCCCATGCGCAGGAAGTGCAAGCGAACACTGTAGAGAAGCTAGATAAAGCGGAGAAGAGATTGGAGAAGCCGCTCGAACAACTTGCAGAGGCTGAACAAAAGCTGCAGCGCATAGAGTATGTTGTCCAAGAGTACGACGCACTCCAACAGGAGAGGACAAATTTGCAAGAGCACATTAAAGAGGAGCAGGAGAAATATTTAGCTCTGACGGAGGGCCAAACAAAGCTGATGGAGGAGAAGCGTGCGGAAATAGAACGAGAGATTGTTAAGCTACAAAAGAAGCTAGAGCTGAAGGACTTTCAGCTTAAAGCGCAAAAGGCTCAGATCAGCGCCTTCGAAAGAAGAGTGGAGAAGTCGCCGGAGCCGATCAGCAGCACGCACGATTTGGCGCAGGCCAGGCGTGCGCTAGTCAAGCACAAGGAGCACCTGGCCGCATTGCGGCAAGAAAAGAACACTCTGCAGAAGGAAGTGAAAGCCTACAAGGAACAGGCTAAATGTGCCGAGCGGGAGCTAGCCACATTTCGGCAGCAGCACGCGCGCTCCATGGATGAATATACGGCATCTGTATGCGATATAAGGCGTCTAGAGAACTCGCTCCACCTGGCCCAGTTTGAACTGCACAGCCTGCAAGCTAAGCTGGCGCTCACCGATAATGAAATAATGCGTCTAACACTTCAAGTGGGTGACCTCAACGAGGCGATTCAACTGCAGAAGTTGCACTCGGCCGAGCTGTTGCAACAACTCTGTGAAAATGAAGATTCGCTCGCAGAATTCAAAAAGCAAATGGCTACCGAATCTAAAGTCTACAACGTGGCCCAGAAGAAGCTGGACAGTACGCTTCAGGAGCTTAACACCCTGCGATTGCGCCAGAATCTGGTGATCGGCCACCTACATGGTCGCCTTGGCAAGTTGCAATCGGAGGGCCGAGGGATCGCGCAGCGAGAGTATAATACTCGCCGCATCGTCAAGAGCCTGGAGGTCAAGTTGGCCAAATTGAGAAAGGACCTGTCTGACATGCGCTTCTCCAACGAGGGTCTGGTACTAGAGAGGGCAAACTATTTGCATCGCATAAGTGTTATGCACAGAAAGATTGAACAAGATCGCGACAGAATGGAGCATCTACAGACCAAATGTGAGCAGCTGCAGGAGCAATGTGGCCAAATGAAGGCCAAACAACAATCGACCATCGGGATGGTAAGTCAGTCAGTGATGCCCCATAGATCCGTGCAAGTCGGGCTCTTGAAAGTGTTTCGGCTCCAAAGTATGTAAGAGATGGAAGGAGGATAGTGCAGAGTTTATCATGTTAGTTTTTCAAATCACTTACAGAAGAGTCGTTAAAGCTGTCTCCAATCCGTCTGTTCCTTTTTCTGGAAGAGGGCGTCGATCTCAACCGACTGATATGTAATCTGGAATGTAGTTTTTACCATTGTAGATTTTCATATTCACTAAGCAGGTTCTTTTATAGCATAGCATATCGCAGCTGGGCGCAAAAAAATAACTTTTTAAACTTAAACTTCCTTTAAATTGAATTGCGCAATTCTGAAACAAGTACAGAGTATTTACTAGTCGGGCACTCTCGGCTTGTCAGCATTATACTCACACATCTATAACGATTTCCATTCTATATTTTATATGTGCGTGCATACTTTACAATGGCATTTTCGGAAATTCAAGTCACAGACTGTGCTGTCCATCGATCCTAAGAAAACAGGCCGCAAGGCCGAACATTTTCAACGCAGCCTGGATTAAACTGAATACAGATTTTGCTGCGGATTTTTGTTATAAATTTTCATAAAATATTTATAATTTTAAATCGACCGAAGAAAAAAAAACCGAACGAAAAGTTGAACATTATTGACGCCTGGTTTTTACACTTATAGGATTCTGTTTTTTTTTTTTTCAACAAATATTTGTAATTTGTTTTAATATTTATAATCTTTGTTCATCAATTATTCATATTTGTTTATAAAGTTTTTATATTTGTGTAAATATTTAATGTTTATCTTCGTTCAATTATTTAAAAATATATTCATCAAATGTTTGTTAACCCAAACTTTCAAATACTGATAAATAAATAATGTCTGATTTTAAAATGTTATACCTTTTTGAATGCGTACCCTACGATCAATTGGCATTCAAAGAAATTAATCATCGATGGGTTCAAAAATGTTAAAGACAAAAAAACCATTAGTTCGTAATGTCAACCTTTTTTGATATTTTGGAATATTTCCGTCAAATAATGTCCGATTTAGGAATTTTATACCATTTTTGACTCGTAAGGTTATCAATTCTATCGATTGGCATAAAAAAAGGAAATCCAAAGTTTTGACCCAAATCGACAAAATGGAGATCGGTGCGAAAATCGAATCTTTTTCGATGATTTTTTTAATATCTCAGGTAATTAATGTCTGATTTTAAAATGTTATACCTTTTTGAATGCGTACGGATCCCTACCATCAATTGGCATTCAAAGAAATCAATCATCGATGGGTTCAAAAATGTTCAAGACGAAAAAACCATTAGTTCGTAAAGTCAACCTTTTTGATGATATTTTGGAATATTTCCGTCAAATAATGTCCGATTTAGGAATTTTATACCATTTTTGACTCGTAAGGATATCAGTTCTATCGATTGGCATCAAAAAAAAGGAAATCCAAAATTTTGATCCAAATCGACAAAATGGAGATCGGTGCGAAAATCGAAACTTTTTCGATGATTTTTTTTTTTTTGTAATATCTCGGGTAATAGCTCCGCGCGGAGATATGACGTTCCAAAACGACATAACTCCGCGCGGAGATATGACGTTCCAAAACGACATAACTCCGCGCAGAGATATGACGTTCCAAAACGACATAACTCCGCGCAGAGATATGACGTTCCAAAACGACATAACTCCGCGCGGAGATATGACGTTCCAAAACGACATAACTCCGCGCGGAGATATTACGCTCCAAAACGACATAACTCCGCGCGGAGATATGACGTTCCAAAACGACATAACTCCGCGCGGAGATATGACGTTCCAAAACGACATAACTCCGCGCGGAGATATGACGTTCCAAAACGACATAACTCCGCGCGGAGAGGTAAATAATATCTGATTTTAAAATGTTATACCTTTTTGAATGCGTACGGATCCCTACCATCAATTGGCATTCAAAGAAATCAATCATCGATGGGTTCAAAAATGTTCAAGACGAAAAAACCATTAGTTCGTAAAGTCAACCTTTTTGATGATATTTTGGAATATTTCCGTCAAATAATGTCCGATTTAAGAATTTTATACCATTTTTGACTCGTAAGGATCAATTCTATCGATTGGCATCAAAAAAAGTAAATCCAAAATTTTGACCCAAATCTACAAAATGGAGATCGGTGCGAAAATCGAAACTTTTTCGATGATTTTTTTTTTTGTAATATCTCCGCGCGGAGATATGACGTTCCAAAACGACATAACTCCGCGCGGAGATATGACGTCCCAAAACGACATAACTCCATGCGGAGATATAACGTTCCAAAACGACATAACTCCGCGCGGAGATTTGACGTTCCAAAACGACATAACTCCGCGCGGAGATTTGACTTTCCAAAACGACATAACTCCGCGCGGAGATATTACGTTCCAAAACGACATAACTCCGCGCGGAGATATGACGTTCCAAAACGACATAACTCCCCGCGGAGATTTGACGTTCCAAAACGACATAACTCCGCGCGAAGATATTACGTTCCAAAACGACATAACTCCGCGCGGAGATATGACGTTCCAAAACGACATAGCTCCGCGCGGAGATATGACGTTCCAAAACGACATAACTCCCCGCGGAGATATGACCTTCCAAATCACCACGTTTTTTTGCGAAAATCGAAACTTTTGCGATGATTTTTTTTGTAATAACTCGGGTAATACCTCCGCGCGGAGATATGACGTTCCAGAACGACATAACTCCGCGCGGAGATATGACGTTCCAAAACAACATAACTCCGCGCGGAGATATGACGTTCCAAAACAACATAACTCCGCGCGGAGATATGACGTTCCGAAACGACATAACTCCTCGCGGAGATATGACGTTCCAAAACGACATAACTCCGCGCGGAAATATGACGTTCCAAAACGACATAACTCCTCGCGCAGATATGACGTTCCAAAACGACATAACTCCCCGCGGAGATATGACCTTTCAAATCACCACGTTTTTTTGCGAAAATCGAATCTTTTTCGATGATTTTTTTTTAATATCTCAGGTACATAATGTCTGATTTTAAAATGTTATACCTTTTTGAATGCGTATGGATCCCTACCATCAATTTGCATTCAAAGAAATCAATCATCGATGGGTTTAAAAATGTTCAAGACAAAAAAACCATTAGTTCGTAAAGTCAACCTTTTTGATGATATTTTGGAATATTTCACGTTCCAAAACGACATAACTCCGCGCGAAGATATTACGTTCCAAAACGACATAACTCCCCGCGGAGATATGACGTTCCAAAACGACACAACTCCGCGCGGAGATATGACGTTCCAAAACGACATAACTCCCCGCGGAGATATGACCTTCCAAATCACCACGTTTTTTTGCGAAAATCGAAACTTTTGCGATGATTTTATTTTAATATCTCGGGTAAATAATGTCTGATTTTAAAATGTTATACCTTTTTGAATGCCTACGGATCCCTACCATCAATTGGCATTCAAAGAAATTAATCATCGATGGGTTCAAAAATTTTAAAGACAAAAAAACCATTAGTACGTAAAGTCAACCTTTTTGATGATATTTTGGAATATTTCCGTCAAATAATGTCCGATTTAGGAATTTTATGCCATTTTCAACTCGTAAGGATCAGTTCTATCGATTGGCATCAAAAAAAGGAAATCCAAATTTTGACCCAAATCGACAAAATGGAGATCGGTGCGAAAATCGAAACTTTTTCGATGATATTTTTTTGTAATATCTCGGGTAATACCTCCGCGCGGAGATATGACGTTCCAGAACGACATAACTCCGCGCGGAGATATGACGTTCCAAAACGACATAGCTCCGCGCGGAGATATGACGTTCCAAAACGACATAACTCCCCGCGGAGATATGACCTTCCAAATAACCACGTTTTTTTGCGAAAATCGAAACTTTTGCGATGATTTTTTTTGTAATAACTCGGGTAATACCTCCGCGCGGAGATATGACGTTCCAGAACGACATAACTCCGCGCGGAGATATGACGTTCCAAAACAACATAACTCCGCGCGGAGATATGACGTTCCGAGACGACATAACTCCTCGCGGAGATATGACGTTCCAAAACGACATAACTCCGCGCGGAGATATGACGTTCCGAAACGATATAACTCCTCGCGGAGATATGACGTTCCAAAACGACATAACTCCGCGCGGAGATATGACGTTCCAAAACGACATAACTCCTCGCGGAGATATGACGTTCCAAAACGACATAACTCCCCGCGGAGATATGACCTTCCAAATCACCACGTTTTTTTGCGAAAATCGAATCTTTTTCGATGATTTTTTTTTAATATCTCGGGTAAATAATGTCTGATTTTAAAATGTTATACTTTTTTGAATGCGTATGGATCCCTACCATCAATTTGCATTCAAAGAAATCAATCATCGATGGGTTTAAAAATGTTCAAGACAAAAAAACCATTAGTTCGTAAAGTCAACTTTTTTGATGATATTTTGGAATATTTCCGTCAAATAATGTCCGATTTAGGAATTTCATACCATTTTTGACTCGTAAGGATCGATTCTATCGATTGGCATCAAAAAAAGGAAATCCAAAATTTTGACCCAAATCGACAAAATGGAGATCGGTGCGAAAATCGAAACTTTTTCGATGATTTTTTTTTGTAATATTTCGGGTAATAGTTCCGCGCGGAGATATGACGTTCCAAAACGACATAACTCCCCGCGGAGATATGACGTTCCAAAACGACATTACTCCTCGCTTAGATATGACGTTCCAAAACGACATAACTCCGCGCGGAGATATGACGTTCCAAAACGACATAACTCCCCGCGGAGATATGACCTTCCAAATCACCACGTTTTTTTGCGAAAATCGAAACTTTTTCGATGATTTTTTTTTAATATCTCGGGTAAATAATGTCTGATTTTAAAATGTTATACCTTTTTGAATGCGTACGGATCCCTAGCATCAATTGGCATTCAAAGAAATGAATCATCGATGGGTTTAAAAATGTTAAAGACAAAATAAACATTAGTTCGTAAAGTCAACTTTTTTGATGATATTTTGGAATATTTCCGTCAAATAATGTCCGATTTAGGAATTTTATACCATTTTTGACTCGTAAGGATCAGTTCTATCGATTAGCATCAAGAAAAGGAAATCCAAAATTTTGACCCAAATCGACAAAATGGAGATCGGTGCGAAAATCGAAACTTTTTCGATGATTTTTTTTGTAATATCTCGGGGAATACCTCCGCGCGGAGATATTACGTTCCAAAACGACATAACTCCGCGCGAAGATATTACGTTCCAAAACGACAAACCTCCATGCGGAGATATGACGTTCCAAAACGACATAACTCCGCGCGGTGATATGACGTTCCAAAACGACATAACTCCGCGCGGAGATATGACGTTCCAAAACGACATAACTCTTCGCGGAGATATGACGTTCCAAAACGAAATAACTTCTCCGGAGATACGACGTTCCAAAAAGACATAACTCCTCCGGAGATATGACGTTCCAAAACGACATAACTCCGCGCGGAGATATGACTTTCCAAAACGACATAACTCCGCGCGGAGATATGACGTTCCAAAACGACATAACTCCCCGCGGAGATATGACCTTCCAAATCACCGCGTTTTTCTGCGAAAATCTAAAC